ATCCCCCCAGCCGCCTCCTGCCTGTCCCTGGCCTCAGCTCCTGCCCTGTCCCTGGGCCCCACCTCCATGGCCCACCTCATTCTGTTCTCATTTTGCAGAGTTGCACAAGGAGAGAACTCAGCATGGGGGGGTTGGTTCTTTGGGTTTTGTTTTGTTTTGTTTGTTTAATTTAATAATTTGTAAAGTGATGTTCCTCTTCCTTTTTTTACACTTTTCAGCTCATATTTAACCTCTGTTTGGAAAATGATTCTTGTAACTGTACATTTTTTTTTTGCCTCCTGATAATAACAATAACAACAATAAATTACCAATTTTGTGTTGGGGGTGTGTGTGGTGCAAGTTATTTTTCCATAGCTGGTTTGGAATGGCTGGCACGCCCCTGGAGACCCGCCACTGAGGGGGCGTGTGCTGGTGATGGGCACACAATGGCCCTCACAAGCCCGCCCTCCCCGGCTTGGGGGGAGCTCCTGCTTTGCCTCCTCCTCACTCTCTCTTTGGACTTGCTTGTGATCCCAGCCTCAAGCTCATAGCTGCCACGTGGAGCTTTGGCCAAACAGAAAACTCGGTGCTACTGTTGTCAATTCTGACTCACAGGGGCCCCACAGGACAAAACGAGGGTTTGCAAGGCTGGGATCTTTGTGGAAATGGGCTGTCTCATCTTGGTTCCCTTCTCTTAGCAGCCAATCATATAACCACTGAGCCTCCAGGGATTTTGAAGTGGACCTTCTTGTTACTGTGTACCATCGAGCCAGAACCGACCCACAGCTGCCTCCGGTGGGTTTTCAGATGCTGTTTAATCACTCAGGAGATTGTCCATCTTTGTCCCGCAGAGCAGCTGGTGGATTTGAACTGCTTGCCTTTAGGATTGCAGCACAGTTTCTTACCACCGGGCCACCAGGCCATTCTGGACTTGGGTCTTGGGCCCCAGTTTCAGTTCTCAGGCCCCAGGCCTGAGTTACTTGTCTCTCTGAGGCCCTCGGTCTGTCCCATTTCTCCAGGCTCAGGAAGCCTCACCTGTAGCCAGATCTAGGCAGGTTCCTGAACCCTTGTTCTCACCCCAGTCCCAGTCCTTACCCAGAGCCAGCTTCCCTGCCCTCCTGTGTTGATGGCTTCCCCTCTTCACTCACTTCTCTGTTGATTACAATGCTACTGGCTTCCTTGAAGTGTCCAATCCCTCACTCCTGTCCAGTCAAAGAGTCCCTTCCTGGAGGCCCCTCCTGGATGTCTCTGGCCCGTCTTTCTCTGGACTGCCCACAGCTGCTGCCTCAGCAGGCGGGGCCTGCTTCCTCAAATCTGAGGCCATCTTGACCCAGTTTTACACTAAGCCCCGCCTCTCCCTGCTCCACCTCCGGCAGCCTCCCCTTCACCCAGGAAAATGGAGCAGGCCCCTGCAGAACACCCCATCCCTCTCCTGCGGCAGGAGGGGTTGTGGTTTTCCTTCTAGAAGCTGTAGCTTCTGACAGAGTCCGGATTCATTCGTTCCCTGTTGCACTCCACTTCCCCTGCCTCTTGTTCTTCAGAGGCACTTTATAATCATTAGTGTTGTAAGAGTAACATGCCCTTTCTGGAGAGGAAGTGCCCTGTCACCAGAAGAGCTTCAGGAAAGACTGAGGCCAATGGAGCTAAATGATTCTAGTGTGCCTTCCAAATGCTAAGGAAGAGAAACCATGCCCTGGGTCAAGGAGGCCGAAGCTGAACCAGGCCCTGTCTCCTGCAGGGGTGACAGAGTTTGCTCTTGTCTGGAAGCCTGGGGGAGCAGCCACAGTCCTTTCACCCCAGGAGTAGGAAGCGGGGGACACTTCAGGTGCCATGATCCACCAATGAGGGAGAAGACTTAAGCTGTCACCAGCAAGTAAGCATCATTCTACCACTGTCTCGGTCACTGTTACCTGACGTGGAATTGGCCCCAGCAATAAAACCTGCTGCCCCAATCCTCAAGATTAGTTGCAACTCAGTCTTGTGGTTGGTAAGTTTTCGGTGGTGGGTTTTCAGAAGTCAGTCACCAGGCCTTTCTTCCTACTGTGATTAATCTGGAAGTTCTGCTGAAATGTGTTCAGCAACACTGAGGCCTGCACTGGCAGATAGGTAGTGGCCATACATTAGCGATAAATAGATTCTAGGTGTCACTAAAAGAAGGCAGAGCCATTGAACCACCACTGCCTGTGCATATTAAAAAAAACCAAAAAACACAAAAACCCCAAACGACACAGAACAAATCCCACTGCCATTGAGTAGAATCTGACTCGTGTCCCTCCACCCCCATCATGTTTCAGAGGCTGTAAATCTTCATGGGCAGAAATTGCCCATCTTTCCAGTACAGAGCGGCATATGAATGTGAACCACTGACCTTTCCGTCAGCAGCCAATGTGCATTTTAGGTACAGAAGAGGACTTCAAGGACTGTCAACGTCGACTGTGAAGATGTGTAAATCACTTTTGGAGCTGGCTGCAGTGCCAAGACCTTGGTGAATGGAAGACTCTTCTGGCCAAGCCTCCTCTGTAGTACAGGAAAACTGATTCCCAAAGGGACAGAAAGACAAAAAGGCACCAGGCGTCTTGCCAGAGGCTTTATAGATTTTTGTCTCATTTAATGATGTTAGCCCTCTGAGAAGGAAGGATAATTCAGGTTGATGAGAATGAAGAAACAGATTAAAGGCTCAGTAACTTAGGTCAGGCCCCGTAAGAAATGGTGGAGCTGGGGTCAATATTATTCTCACTCCAAAGTGCATGTGATCTTGTTCACCCTGAGGTGGGGAGCACAGTGGATTCACCCCAGCCCTGGCACTAGGGTCAAAGGGCTAGTCTAGAATCTGCCCTGAGCAGAGTGATAAGCGTGTTAACACAGCCTCTGAGGATCCCAGTTCAAATCCATTGCTCATCACTGTGCCAATCTGTGCCCCGCCCCCCACGCCTGGGTCCAAGCAGCCATCAGACCCTTAAACAACAAACCCCGCATTGTTCCCCCAGCTGGCCCAGGCTGGAAGGACAGTGTCTCTTTCCCAAGGTCTCACTGGCCAGCTGACTAATTCCACAAGCCATTCACGTTGGCAGGCTCCGGAGGCAGTGGTGGTGGCCAGGCCTCAGAGCCACCATCTCTCCCCGTTAGCTCTGAGCTGGCCAACCAGCATGGCAGGGGATGTCCTTTGTGGAAGAGGCCCCCCAGATAGGATGCTGACATGGCCCCCCTCCTTGTCCCATGCCTTCCGTCCTCAGCCCTCCCTGTCCCGAACTTCACCTCAGTTCACCCATTTCACTTCAGAAGTCATCAGTGGGCAGGGAAGGGCTGTTGGGAAAACAGGGAGGAAGCAGCCCTGGTGCCTCTGGAGCAAGCTGGCCTTTGATCCCCTCTCCAGCGTGCTGCTCTTGCCCTTCTCCAGCCCGATCCCCCTACCCATCTTAAGTTTCTGCAGACAGAGCTACAGGCTTCAGTCACTGTGGCAACAGGTCTGCTGAGAGGAGGGTGGGTGTCATTCCTCAGCACAAAGGGTGTGCGCATGGCAGTGCTGTCACCTAGCAACGCCTCCCTCTCTCTTGGCGGCATCCCCGGCCCTGGGGGTGGATGCCAGGGAGAGAGAACAAGGCCTTTAAGATCCCCAGGAGAAAGAGGTGGGGGGCTCGGGCACAGGGCAGGCTGAGGCCAAGGGGTGTGGTTGGTGGACAGAGAATGGCCCCTGAGGGTAGTCATGAACCCCTGCCCCTACACTCCCGTAGGTCCCTTCCTGAGCCCCCATGCTGATGTCCTAGGTGGGCCTGGTGGATTGAGGTCTCTGGGATGAGCCCCAGAGCTGAGTTTCAGACAGGACAGGCTTATTCTGGAGAAAGCTGACCTTCTGTGTGGCAGGGGGTGCAGGTGCATAGTGGACGTGTCACTTCTGGTCAGTGTTGTGTCAGCTTCTGTTGTGACCAAACAGGGCAAAATTTGTCTTTTGGAAGGGTCCTGAGCAGTGGAGCTGGGTCTCCAAGGATGGATGACCAGCGAGAGGAGCTGAGGGTCTGTTGGGAGCAGGATGATGCTCTGGCAGGAAGGAGAGTGGTTGGGGAGCAGGGTGGGGGAAGGCAGGGGACAGGCAGCTGGGCCGTCTGCAGGCCAAACAGGCCATTCTAAGAAGCCGAACAAGAGCAGCTCTCAGGCAGAGAGACCCGGAGCCCCGGGGACACATGAGGGAAGGCCATTGGCTCCCTTCCAGCGAGTGCTCTGTGGAGAGAGAGGGTGGGGGCTCCAGGGGGGGCCAGTTGGCAGCCTCTTGCCTTCCTGGGGATCACTGAGTTATAGGACAAGATGAAGACTTAGTCTTACAACCTTCCCAAGCCCTCCATCCTCTGTTTCTCAAAAGTCATAAAACCCAAAGAGCCCACATAACCACTTAGTTGTGTGGGACCACCTCTGTGAGGGCCCCAGACAAGGAGGGGTTAAAAGTGTTCAGGAGGAATCCCCCACAGACTACTGCCTGGCCCCGTCAGCCCCTGGAGCATCTGGACTCTACCAGGAAGTGGTTCAAGAGAGTCTAGTGTGCAAGATATAGTTAGTTCTATCTAGTTTATTGTTTTCCAGGAAAGATCTACAAAGAAGCACCTACTGGGGAAGGTTGGGACAGGACAACCCAGGGGACCTCAGACCGAGGAGGAGAAAGGAGAGATCTCTATGAGAAGCGCAATCATCAGAGCCAAGACAGGTCCATTCCAGAGAAACGAGAACCAGGTCAACCTGGGTGGATCCCCAAAGGGCCCCTAAGCCAGGACACAGGGTGGGACGTAGAGAAGGCACTTGGCAAGGGTACAACTAAATTACAGACCCAAGTCCTATGGCAAAGAGAGAGAAGTACAGTTGGAACCAAGAGAGGGTAGGTGATGGTCAGGTTCTGACTCCCAGCAGGCAGGACTAAGAGTTTCTGGGAATTTCTAAGGACCTAGAAGCAACATTGTCCACCAGTTGAAAAAAACAGGGCAGGGAGGTCCCTCGGATTGACGGAAGAGGCCCTGCTTCAGGAGAAGTTAACATGGCCAAAGCTCAACAAGGGAAATCCAGTTCCTTTCCAGTCAGCAAGACGGGTGCAGCAAAGCAGGACCTAGCAGGCCCAGGCTGGAGGTGGTGCCTCTCCTCGCTCCCTCTGGCCCTGCTCTGTGCCTCCCAGCCCCGGCCTGGCCTCAGCACGGTGTGCCCAGGGGCAGGAGCGGGGGAGACTCCCTGGGCTTGTGGAAGTAGATGGAGGAAGACATCTCCGTCTTGAGCTTGTTGTCCGAGCCGTTGGCGGCTGTGGCCTCCGAGACCCCACACTCCTCGCAGCAGCAGCAACAGCAGCAATCCAGGAAGGCCTGGCCCAGCGGCCTGCAGATGCACAGGAGGAGGACCGGCGTGATGGCGCCCTTGAAGAAGGTGGAGAACTGGTTGATGAGGCCCAGGAGGTCCAGGGTCTGACGGGTGAGCTCGGTGGAGAGGTAAGCCACCACGAGGTTGCAGACGTTCTCCGGGAGGGTGCAGAAGGCGTACAGCACCGTCAGGCCCACCACCGTGCTGTTGAGCTGGCTCTCACACTGCCCGTGCTGGCTCGCCCGGCACTCCGGCTTCCTCCCCGGAGGGCCCCGCACCCGCCACGTCACCAGCTGGCAGGTGACCGTGAAGAGGATGGGCAGGCAGAAGTAGCAGCCAAAATACCACCACATGCGGGCGTTCTGATAGGTCATCACCAGTGAGTAGAGGGACTCAGGCAGGCTGGCCAAAGGCTTCATGATGCAGGAGTCCACGGTGCCCGAGACGGGGGCAGGCTCCTGTGCCAGCTGCCATAACAGGAGCTCGGGCACGGCCAGCGTCATGGAGCCCACCCAGATGACAGCCAGCTTGGCCAGGATGGATTGGCACCGCTCGATGGGCCTCACCTTGGGCAGGGTGCTGGTGGCCACGTGGAAGCGGTCAATGCCCAGGGCACAGAGGCTGAAGGTGGTGACGCCCAGAGAGGAGACCTGTGGGGATGATGTAGGAGAAGACAAAAGGATTTGGTCAAAACGGCTGTCAAGACAAGGAAAAGGGAGGTCTGGTGGCCTAGTGGCAAGAAGCTGCACGGCAATCCCAAAGGTATGCGGTTCAAATCTACCAGACGTTCTGCTGGAGAAGGAGGGGCAATCTCCTCCTGTGCCAGTCGGATCCAAATCGACAGCACACAACAAGGAGGGGGGGAAATGAGAACCTCCCCTGCCCCCTGCCCCCCAAAAAAAGACAAGGGAAAATACCCTGGCTCCTGGTTTAGTCAGATGAAGAACTTGCAGCAGGAGTGAGTTTGGAGTTAATTTTGGAGTTGTTGATTTCCTAGAACAGGCTGAGAGAATGATATTAAAAAAACCAAATCAAAACCAAAAAGAAAAAAAAAAAGCAAAACCCTTGTATTACTTTGTCTTCAGAACCTTTAGTGAGATTATTTCCATTTTTTTAAATAGAAATTTGTATTTTATACTGGCTTACTTACAAAGTTCATGTATTTCTCTTTTTAAGGAATTTAAGGAAATCATTACTATATCTGTCTCTCTCATTCTCATTGCTGTCAGTCCAGTCAGACCTGATTCACACCTGATTCTCTGGTGGGCTTTCCAAGGCTGTAAATCGAGTGCTAGGAGATTGCCCATCTTTCTACAGAGGAGCGAGTGATGGATTTGAACCACCAGAGAGGCATGGCCCCTTGGGTTAGCAGTGCAACGCCCTACAGACCATGCCACCCAAGTTCTGCTGTAACCACCAATCAGTGAGCATTTCCTATATGTCAAAAGCCTCTGATTGGCACAATTTGCACACATACTAAAGCTTGGTGGTTCCAACCCACCTAACGGTGCAGCAGAAGAAAAGTCTGGCAATCTGCTTCTAGAAAGAAAAGCCTTCTGAATAGTGCTGCTCTGCTGCACACAGGGTTCCTACCATGAGTGGGAATCATGAGAGGCAGGGTTGGTTTCTTCTACTGCAGGCCAGACTCTTCACATATGACATCTTGTCAGCTCCTTGCAACAAATCAGTTCACAACGTAAGATGATGCTGAGGCTCAGGCTGCATGAGTAACCTGCCCAAGATCTTTCCCTTGCTGCTTTTTCTCTCTGGCTAGAAGTTGACTGTCGTGGGTGCCAGAGCGACCCTCCTTCGGGTTTCTGAGGCTGTACATCTTTATGGGAGGAGACTGCCCATATTTCCCCAGTGGAGCACTTGATGCATTTGAACCATCAACCTTTCAGCTAGCAACCCAACACACTATATACTGTGCCACCACAGTACAGACCACCTTACCTTCTCTGTAAGACTGGAAAATTGTCTTTAAGGGGAAAAACAATTCAGAATTGCAATTAATGCTATATAAAGCAACATGCCTATTAATGACTGAATGAAACATCAATATTATTTGTAAACTGTCACTCAAATAAAAACATAATAAGAAACTTTTAAAAAATAAAGAGGATCCAGACAAAGAGAGGGGGAGTTTTGAGTCCCTGCAGATTCTGCTGTCACATCAAATGTAGATGATTCAAATCCTCTTTGTAGGAGAAAGATGGGCAACCTTCTCCTGTGCCATTTGCAGCCTCTGAAAATGTGCTGGAGGGTCAGCTAAGGGTCCATTCTGAGCAGATGGCATGTAACAACAACATCCTGTTATGGGCACGGCGGGAAGACCTTGGGGAATGGCTTACACACACACACATTCACGCACATCACACATCCTCACAAACGCAATCGCTCGTTTACACTTGGCCACACTCATCCCCACGCACTGACACAAGGACACCCACAAAGCACTGACACAGGAGCACACAGGCATCTGTACATGCTGCTCACGTGCTTGTACACCCATACACAGCCACCCAGCCGACCCTGTCCCCACAGGCCCACAGCCTTGCTGTGCAGGAAGGGGGTAGCCTCCCTCCAGATCAGCGCGTGCGCCCCAGCCCAGCCACACTGTTCACTGAGCACATACAAAAATGACCTGGGGAGCCAAGAGGAAGAAGCTAGAACGGCAGGGGGACAAAGTGTCAGAGAGAACAGAAGAGAAGAATGCTCCGGAGCTATCAGAGGACGCTCATCCAGACTCAGGGACTGCTTTCAGAGCCCCCTCATGTCCAATTCTCCCCTTTTCTGCTGGGGGAACACAAGCACCGGCTTGTTAGCACTGCCACCAGGGGCCCTTGCAAGTGCCCCCTTCTCGGCAGGGGGTGCTGGGCCGGAGGAGGCGCAGCCTTGGGTCTTGGGCAGAACACCATGCTCTCCCCTTTCATTATATCTCAGAAAACACCTTTATCATATTCCAAAGTTCCTTCCCTGTTCCCTCCTGGGAGCCCGTCCAGAGCACTTCTCTGTATCAGTGTTTGCTTAGTCTCTCAACTCCCACCCCATCACTCAGCCTCAAAGGAGCTTGCTGTCAACTCCTGGATCATCTCCATCCCCCAGAAGGCCTGGGGGGTGGCCAAAGAGGATGAACATAAGCTGAGACCCCCAGTTCACTGGGCCAGGCTTGGAGGGACCCACTCACTGGTCTGCCTCCCTCCTCCACAGCCTAGATCATTCCCAAGTAAAAGGACCATTTATTTAATTTTATTAATTCTAAGTCTATAATCATTGGCCATTCAATCTTTCAGTAATTCTATAATAATAATAATAATTATCATTATTGCTATTTTTGTCAACCCCAAATGATAGGTGAGAAAACATAGTCAGGTTAAGTAATTTACTGAGGTCACTCAGCTTGTGAGAGGCAACACCCGGGTTCTGCTGGAGTCTGCCCAGTGCCCAGGTCCTCGTGGTTAACAGGGGAGCCCCGGTGGCTCAGCCCATGGGGAGCTGCACTTCTAAGCCCCCAGCGGCTCCTCACCGGCAGCTTGGATCCGCCAGTCACGCCACAGATGAAAGACGGGCAATCGCCTCCCAGGTGAATTACAACCTCTGAAAACCCACCAGACGGTCAGCCATGGGTCGGTCCTGACTGATGGTGGGCAGTGTGCTGGGATTTTTGTGTTTGACAAGAGGAACTCTGGTGGTGCAGTGGTTAAGACATTCAGCTGCCAACCAAAAGTTTGGAGGTTCAAATCTACCAAATGGGGTAAAGATATGACAGTCTGTTTGCATTAAGATAAATGGCTTTAGAAATCTTCTGGGTCAGTGCTGTGCCCTACAGGCTTGCTATGAGTTGAAATTGGCTTGATAGCGGTAGATTTGGGTGTGTCAAACAGATACACTTTCTGGCCTCACTGCCCAGCAGTGCTGTAAGTACAAACGTAAAACAGCCATTCATAGGGTCTTCTGTCACATCCTGCTACCTTTCAGCCACCCTTGGGTGCTCTCCCTGAGCTGGAAAGGACAGGAGAAGGTGGTACTGACAGCTGAGCCTCAGAAAGTGTCCAACTATGAAATCTCCAGGAATACTCAGTGGACTGGGGACCAAGCTGGAATCAGATCTGTGTCCAGATGACTGATCCTGATTCATTCTCCAGCCCAGCAAGTCACCCATGTCTCACAACCTTTCCCACGAGGAACAGTAGGAGGGAGTCACACTCACTCCTGTCCCTGTCACACACACCCACAGGATCAACATCCTAAAAGACTGCTCTTTTATTTGTATTCTCATAAAGAGGCGGGAGCCGGCTGTGCCTTGCACAGATACACAGACTGGTGTATTTGTGCTGTGTTCTCGTTGTCTCTGTGCAATCAACCCGATCATCCACACTCATAAACAGTCTTAACTTAGAAGCTTCCAGAAGGTGAGGACTTGACATGCACCTTAGAATTACAGAATGGCCGAGCCGGAAGGGGCCATCTCATCAGCCTCTCTGCTCAAGAAGTAAATTGGAGAGGAGCGCTGACCTGACCAGCAATATCCAGGAGGTCAGTGCCGGGACTAGAGCCCTCAGTAAGCTCCAGAGCCCAGAGCCGGCTCTTCCCCTCAAAGCAGCCTTAGGAGAGTGGTGCTGGTGACGGTGGCCTATGATGGTAGCCCTCAGCAGGGAAGGAAGGGCCAGGCTTCCTGGTGCTGCATTCACAGTGAAAGATACTGACTTGATGGGTGGGGAGTAGAGACAGGGAGCTGAGGTGTGGGGCAGCTGCAGTTAGACCCGAGGGAGAAAGAGGAGGCATGACCAAAGGACAGAACAATTTCTCAGGTGGACTAACAGGTGAGGGGCAGGGAAGGCACAGAAAAGGAGAAAGAACTGAACTGTAGCCACTTTCAAAGGGAGAGACCCCTGTGGAGCTGGAGCCCAGGAGCCCTGCACCTGCCTGACCCACCATTCCTTCCAGCCTGCCTCCTCTGGCCTCCCAGGAGTCAACACTGTGTTCATTTCCTTCCCCAAGTTGGAGAGACTATAAAACAGAGAGAGCAAAGCTCTACCTCGGGGCTCCTCCACTTGTCCCATTTCCAGGGTCCTGTTGGCGACTTGGAGCCCCGTGCTTGTTTGGAGTTTGCTCTCCAGCCCCACCCGGACTCCCACTCACCTCCATGAAGGGCACGGCGCGGCAGGAAACGTCACCCAGCAGCCTCTGCTTCGTGATCTCATTGAAGATGACAACCGGGAGGCAGAAGAAGAGGACCAGGAAATCCCAGAGTGCCAGGCTGGCCAGGATGGAATTCCACGCGCTCTTCAGGTAGTAGCTGTGCCACACTATGCACATGACAGACAGGTTGCCCACGATGCCCACGGCGAACACCACCAGGGCCAGGAGCATGATGGCGTAGGCACTGTAGGAGCTCTCGGTCACCGGGTACAGGGGGTTCCGGATCTGCAGCCTCCGCCCTGGCATCCCTGTCAGATTGCCCCGAAGCTCCTGCTCATTGCCTGCAGTGCCCCCATCTTTGTCTGGGTTGGGGCTGGTGGCCACCAAGAGCTTGGTGGGCTGCAGGCCAGCAGGATGGATGGGCCGAGGGTACTCAGCCCACTCCTGGGGCACATACTGCTGCACCCCCTTGGCCTCCTCATCTTCGGTGCCCCTCTTGGGTCGGCTCTGCTGCTCCAAGGCCGTTGCATGGTGACTGCCTATCCCCACACTCAATACCACAGCAAGAGAGACAGCCAGGGGCCACAGGCGCCACATGGCCAGACGTGCAAGAGGCAGCTGCCCCAGACAGAGCAGGTGAGGGCAGGAGCCGGGCTGCTGGGCAGAAGCGAGCGTGGCAGCTGGCCTGTGGGGCCGCCTCCAGTCCACAGTCTGGCATCGCCTGCCCGCTCCCGGTGGACTCAAGCGCTCCCTCCCACCTCCGGCCTGGGCTGGGCATGGCCCTCTGCTGGACACAGAGCACTCTTTGCTGCCCTCACTCGTCTCACCCTGCAGGACACTGCTGCTCAGGGCCGCCCCCCCAGGATCCCAGCACAGCCAGCGTGGGGGGCCCACAGAGGCCATGTGCTCCAAGCCTCTGAAGCCAGAGAGGGCAACCAGCTTGCCTAGGGACATCTAGGCTTCTCTGGGGGCTACAAACAGTTAACATCTCAGCTGCTAACCAGAAACTTGGAAGTTTACCCAGCAGTGTCTCAGAAGAAAGGCCTGGCAATTTATGTCTGAAAAATCAACCTCTGGAAAGGACAGGGCACAGTGCTGTTCTGTCATCAATGCGTCACCAAGAATGGAGCCAGCTGAGCGGGTCACATGGTGACTCCACCTGCTGGAGACAGCTCTAAGGAAACCTCTACACCCAACACTAGACAGTGATGCTCTCCATCATCTACGGGGTGCTTCTAGGAAAGGGCAAGATTCAGATCTGATGTTTATAGGGTCACTGGGAGTCGGTCATATGGTGGCCTAGTGGTAAGAAGTTGTGATGCCAACCTGAAGGCACGCTGCTCAAATCCACTCGCTGTTCCACAGGAGAAAGATGGGCAATCTTCTTTCATGTGATTTACTGCCTCTGAAAACCCTTTGGAGGGTCAGCTGTGGGTCGGCTCTGACTTGGCAGTATATAACAATAATGCTGGGAGCTTCTAGAGGCCTAGTGGGTAGAGAGCTGCGCTGCTTGTCCAAAGGTGATACCTTCTTCAGCGGTTTATTCCACTGGCAGATCCTTGAGAGAAAGACAGGCAATCTCTCCCAGCGCAATTTACAGCCTCCGGAACTCCGGCGGGAGGGTTGACTATGAGTCGGTTCTGACTCTATGGTAATGACATTTTTACTTTGACTAGGAGCCCTTGTGGTACAGTAGATTAAGCCCTGGGCTGCTAACTGAAAGGTCAGTGGATCAAATCCACCAGCTGTTCTAACGGAGAAAGATGCAGCAGTCTGCTTGGAACCTCTGTGTATAGTCCTACTCATACCTATAGGGTTGACCCAATACCAGTGGATTAGGTTCAGTTTGGTTTTATTAGGTCTAGTTGATTTCTCAGTTAATACTCATAGCAACTCAATGGGGTAAGTAATTATCACTTTTCAGATTAAGGATCAGGGTTTTTTAGTACTGTTAGGTTGGAACCAACTCATAGCTGACCCACTAGTGGGTTTTCAAAGGCAGCAAATTGCACAAGAGGAAATGGCCCATCTTTCTTCCTCAGAGCAGCAGGTGAATTTGAACCATCTGCCTCTGGGTTGGCAGCACAATTCCTAACCCCTAAGCCACCAGAGCTCTCTGTCTGGGTGGTAGAAGTTAGTTATTTGCTACATAGTGTTCATTCATGGCAGAGCCAAACCCTGGGACCTGGATCTAATTCCAGGGCCAGTGTTTTGAATTTGACATTGCTCCTAATAGACAGGGGCCATCTCCTGCCCACACAAGCTCCTCTGGGAAACACAGCAAGCAGTACTTAAAAACCCTACATTCTGCACCAGATACAGGCTGGATGGACAGTTGCAATAACAAATATTTACTAAGCACTTGCTATGCTCTGGACACTCAGTATACAAATATGAAAAAGCAGATCTCTGCCACCAAGGAGCTCCCTGGGGGAAAAAAGAAACATGTAAATAAATCATTACAATTCAGTGTGATGAATGATGTGAGGCAAGCTGCCCAGAGCTCGAGGAGTCTAGGAGAGCCAGGACTTTGGATGGCCTCCCAGACGAGGAGGTGGCATTCAAATAGACCCTGAAAAACAGTTGCCTGAAAAACAGGCAGAGATAAAGGTGAGGAAGGGAACGTGAAGCAAAACAAACAACTTCTACAAAGGAACAGAGACGTTCCCAAAATATGCTACAACATGGATAGACCTTGAAAACATAACACAGAGTGTCATGGATTGAATGATGTCTCCCCTTCTTCAAAGAGGCATGGCAATTTAACTCTGTGACAGTTCTCAGTGGCTTGGCATTTATGCAATAATATAACTATCCCTCCCTGTGTGGTGGCCAACCAGTCAGGTGCAAGGGGATTAGGTAGGAGGTCCTGTGATTTCAGGAGATAAAAGGAGGCAGACTTGAGAAAGGAGGGACCTGCTATACCAAAAAAGAGTTTATCTTTTGGAAGTGGGTCCCTGTGCTCCTAAACCCAGACGAATGCCATGACATGTACAGCTTTCCACGGAACAATAGAGCCACAGATGTTCAAAGGAGATAAAGACCTGCCTCTTGAGCCAACAAAGAAAGTAAACTTGACTTTGAAATAACTAACTAATGCTCTGCATCTAGACTTCCAGCCTCCTAAATGATGAAAGAAAACAGCTGTTTGCTAAAGCCATGCACTTGTGGTTCTGTTATAGCAGCACTAGATAAACTAAGGCACTGAGTGGGGGCAACAATTCATCATTAAAAGATAGATATTGCATGGATCCTCTTAAAGAACTATCTAGACTAGGTATAACAAGACAAAAGTTTAGCAGTGGTTGTTAGGGGCAAGGTTTTGGAAAAGGAAAGCTCAGCACAGAGAGGACATTGAGCTTTCTGTTAAGAGTGATGGGAAAATTCAGAAATGGAGACAGTTGGCCAATGGGATAAGCATATTTAATGCTGCTACACCTTACCCGTAACAATTGTTGTTAAGTGCCGTTGAGTCATAGGCAACTCATAGCGACCCTATGAACAAGAGTCCTTGACCTTGCGTGACTTTCATCCTTTCTCCAGGGTCATAGGTTTCCCAGAGGCAAGCTATTTACGGGAGTGGATGCCATTCCTGCTTCCAACCTTGTTTTAAACAGGGAGTGCCACCAAACACTGTCTGCCATGGATAACCATTAACATATTTGACACATCAGTGTCACAGTGTTCAGCTTCATAGCAACCACAGTTACCTCTGTAGGGCAAGTGGACACACCAGGGCTATACGACCTAGAAGAATGTTTCACCAAAAACTATTAAAGACAGCCCTTAAGGGCATGGATTAAAGTCACCCACTTTTGGCTTGGTAGCATCACTTTCGGTCCACTAGGCCAACTGGTCTCTCTATTGTTAAGTGCTGTTGAGTCATAGGCGACTCATAGCGACCCTATGAACGAGAGTCCTCGACACTTGCGTGTATGACTTTCATCCTTTCTCCTGGTTCATTGGGTTTCCCGAGGCAAGCTATTTATGGAAGTGGATTCCACTCCTGCTTCCAAGTGACAATTGTAGAATGGCAAATACCTTGTAAACTTACCAGGGAGATCTGGTAGTGTTGTCAGTAGGCAGTTTAACTGCTAATCCAAAAGCTGCAACTCTCTGGTGGTTCAGATCCCCCAGTGGCTCCACAGGAGAATGATGGACAACCTCCTTTCGTGCAAAGTACAGCACCGGACAAGCCACTGAGGGTCACTTATGAGTCAGTTCCCAGTCAGCAAGCAGTGGGAATGACTGATATTCTTACCAACATTTTCTTAATAAAAGGGGAGAAAAAAAGAGCTCTGGTGGCCTACTGGCAAGAAGCTGCACTGCAATCCCAGAGGTGAGCAGTTCGAATCCACCAGATGCTCTGCTGGAGAAGGAGGGGCAATCTCCTCCTGTACCAGTCAGACTCTGATTTGACAGTACACACACAAAAATAATAATTAAAAAATTATAAAAATTAAAAAAAGAAGGAAGAAGAAAACAAGTTTATGCCTTCCCAAAGAGGTATAAATTAGGGATATATTTGAAAGGGAGCCAGCATGCCAAGTGACTGGGATGCCAGGAAAGCAAGAGAGCGTATGAGAGAGAGGTAGGGCATGACAATGGGAGAGGTGAGCTGACAACAGGCCAGAAAGGACTTTGAATGATGGCAGAAACAGGAAATGAATTTTCTCTGGATGACAGCAGTATTACACAGAGGAACAATGACCGGTTATGTTAGAGGGATCCTTGCTCAGCAGCTAGGGGTTGACAGCCCGAAGCAGCAGGAGGCAGGGATAGGGGGTCTGTTGGGAGGTGGCCATGCGGAGCATTCAAGGAAAACTCCTGCACAGTGATTCTATGAACAACAGACCTGAACCCTGTCCTATCTTGTGCCATCCTCACCATCTCTGACATATGCATGTGTGTATATAACTCAGTGACTGGTATAACAGGGGTGGGTGTGTCAGAGACAAAGAAATTGGCTCAGGACAGGCCAGGGTTCATAGGGTCGCTCTGAATCTCAAGCGATTTGATGGGACATAACAACAATATAACTCGTGCATCCTTCTGAATATGGGTGAAAGCAGAGGAGGAAGAAACACAGTACCAGTGCTTAAGGCCTTCTCGTGTCTTGATCCAGCCCTATGAGTGCGGGGATTGGTACTTGACATCTACAGATATAACTTTCCCCTTCTGAAAAATAAGATGATTAGAATACCAGGAGAATGTCTATCTGTGCTTCATTGACTATGAAAAGGCTTTTACCTGCGTGGATCACAACAAGCTATGGCTGACTCTGAGAAGAATGGGAATCCCAGAACATTTGATTGTGCTAATGTGAAACCTATACTTGGACCAAGAGGCAGTCGTCAGAACAAAGCAAGGGGACACTGCATGGTTCAAAATCAAGAAGGGGGTCCATCAGGAATGTATTCTGTCTCCATATCTTTTCAATCTGTGTGCAGAACAGATCATCCGAGACGTTGGGCTGTACGAGGAAGAATGTGGCATCAGGATTGGTGGAAGAGTCATCAACAAACTGTGTTATGCAGATGACACAACCCTGCTTGCCGAAACTGAGGAGGACCTGAAGCACTGGCTGCAGAAGGTCAAGGACTGCAGCCTCCTATATGGATTGAAGCTCAACATCAAGAAGATAAGGATTCTCACCACTGGGCCAATTGGCAGCATCAGT